GTAACGTAACAACAACTTAAAGCTGGATTTTGGATAAGAGTCGACAGATTTGATGCCAAGCGGGACCGCTTCATCTAACAGCTCCACACCGGTCACTGGGTGGACCAGAACCAAGTCAATGTCGGACTTTACTCAGTGATCATCAGTAGCTGTTTTACAGCAGGTAAATCAATGTTCTTAATAATGTTAGCTTGTGTTTACTTCGGTTACAAAACAACCAACTGAGTTTTTATTTTTTCCTGAAAGAAGAAGAAGCTGTCCTTCCACCAGGCAGACCAGTTCTGAACGCGGCTCGGACCAGATGCAGGGCAGGAGGACGTTGAAGAGAGATGTTGATGAACTATTTGTTTAAAATCCCCCTCATTTCTTTTATTCAATCCATTCAAGTTCAGTTAATGTGTTTTAAGTGTGTTCAGTTTAATTATGAGTGTTTGTGTGACATACAATTTGTGGTGTTGAATAAATAAATAAAAATTAGACCTGATGTCTTCATTTTCAACTTTAGTGTTTACGCTATATGTTTAGCATCATTTTAAATTTGAATTACATAATGTCCAGATAGCTTAATTTAGCTCAGAGCTTCATTTTATCTCACACTAACATAAATATTGTTTATTATTATTAAACTGTTGTTATTAAGCACATTTATGTTATAGTGCAGCGCGACGTGTGTGCATGCCACGTTCTATAAACAGTGATATTAGAACTGGATCATATCGTGTCTCTTCCAACACAGATGTCGGTCACAGCACCTAGAATCTGACGTAGATTAACTACGAGATTAAAATATATTCCATCAGTCGAGGTTCAGAAAGCACTGTCCGCTGCCATGTTGATAGAAATATAGTGTCTGTCCGCACGTGCGTGTGCGTATGTGGTTTAACACAAAGTCTCAGCGGAAGAAGTTTACATTATCAGCGGGGGATCAGCGAAAAACCTCCACTCTGGAAGGTGGATTCAGAAACCTCCGGATTCAAAGAGGGGGGCCACTGGTGTCGTGTAAATGATCAGCAGAACCGCAGAGAGAAAGCTGCGGATGCACTAAAATACGGGCCGTGTAAACGGCCCCTTGGATTGTGCACACCACTTCTTGAGAGAGACCCATTTTCTCTAAGCGGATCTGCTCAGCGACCAGACCCAAGGGTCTCCAGGAGGGAATGAGCAGCAGGGCTGCTGCTGACATCACCTTTTCTGGAGAAATCATCCAATTCACTCCGTGATTCAGCATCAAAAAAGGCGATGGCGTCATCCAGCGAACAATCCCCTGCCACGGAAAGGCACTCCTCAATGTTAGCCTTGAACAAGGCAACTCGTCTCTGCTTCTCCTCAGGAGGGAGGAGGACACAGGGACGGCAGGAGGAGGCGAGGACGGCATGGCAGGGACCCAGGCATCCTTCACAGATGTCATGCTGGTCAAAACTCAAACTGTAGCTGGTCTGGCAAGACGGGCACAGGCGGATGGTGATGGTGCTAGACATCGTCTTCTTGAAAAAGCAGTGCTGGTTGCTTGCTGAAGAAAAAATGGGAACCGATTACCCGGTCTCACCGTAATTTATACAAACTGGGGTTGAGGCCCACATAGCAGGTGGGCGTGGACTAAAGTTTTCAGTGCTGCGCTGCGCTGCGCGCGAAGGGATAAACCCACTAGCGATAGCCTTAAAGGGCGAAGCCTATACGAAATAGAACAGCATATGACAAAGAGGTGCAGAAACATGACATGAGGGGCTGGGAGTGAGGTAGGGGACAGAGGAAGTGACAAAGGCATAAGGGGCAGAGACTTAAGGAGAATGGGGCAAGCAGAGATCGCTAATCATGAAAAATACTTCCGCCTTATAAGCCCAGATTAATTCAAAAAAGGGGTTTGAAGCGTTTTTGTGAACAGTCATTCCTCTGGGATCTATTTCACTTTGACTGGCATCGTATTCTATTAACTGACCACATGAACACCACTTGGAACTATTTTCATAATAGTTTCATTTATTTTATTAACAAACATGCTCCTTTTCGTCAGTTCAGAATAAAGGGACACAACAGTCCCTGATTTACTCCTGAACTAGCTGACCTCCTGCACAGGAGAGACCATCTTTGGGTTACAGCGAGAGAATCTGGCTCAGACACCGATTGGTTGAGTTTTCGACAGCTGAGGAATAAATGCACAACATTCATCAAAGCCACAAAACTTAACTATTTCTTATATCAGATCTCGAAAATCTAAATGACCCTAAAAGATTCTGGAAAACCATCAAATCTCTTTCAGGAAGCTCCCAATCATCTGACCTCCCATCACAATTTCTCATTAACCCTGTTCCTGTGTCAAATAAGCACAAGATCATGAACTGTTTCAACAAACATTTTATCGCTTCTAGTTCTTTATTTGACACAGTTACTAATGGAAAATCAGCCACTTCTCTTAATAACCAAACTTCTACAAATCAAATCTCTCCTACAAGTCAATCCTCAGTTAATCACACCTTCTCTTTTTCTCCATTCTCAGTTTGTGAGGTAAATAAACTGTTAAAAGGTCTCAATCCTAAAAAATCTGCAGGACCAGAGGAACTTCCACCTTATTTCTTAAGGCTGGCTGCTCATATCATCGCAGTCTCTGTGTCCCACATCTTTAACCTGTCCATAAGCCAAAACTCCATTCCAGACACTTGGAAAACAGCCTTTGTTCTTCCTTTGCTGAAGGGAGGTGACCCCACCTCACTGAACAACTATTGACCAATCTCTAAACTCTGCATTTTAGCCAAGATTCTAGAAAAACTGATAAACTCTCAAATCAAAATTTATCTGGACTCATTTAACATCTTACCTTGCCTTCAATCTGGTTTCAGGAAACAAGACAGCACAACGACTGCATCACCGAACGTTCTTAATGACGTTGTTGAAGCATCAGATGCTAAGGATTATTGTGCTGCACTTTTCTGAGACCTGTCTAAAGCTTTTGACACTGTGGATCATGACATCTTGTGTCATAAGCTCTCAGAAATTGGGTTCTCAGATCATATCATTGGTTGGTTCTCTATCTTTCAGTTCAGAGGCAATGTATTCAACATAATGGTACTTCCTCCAGTTATTTAAAAGTCAACAATGGTGTACCACAAGGCTCAGTCTTAGGACCCACCCTCTTTACAATCTACATAGGTAATGTAGGTCAGAGGATCCTTGACACACCCTTACATTTCTATGCTGATGACACAGTTGTTTATTGTTGAGCAAAAACAGTTGATAAGGCTTTCCAGCTTTTGCAGTTCGCATTTGACATCATCCAGTCAGATTTGTTTAACCTCAAACTTGTCCTAAATGCCAATGAACCCAAAGGGATGCTTTTTTCAAACAGGAAGTCAGTCCCGGCAGCACGGTGGCGCAACTGGCAGAGCTGCTGCCTCTCAGCGAGCAGGTCCTTGGTTCAAACCCCGGTCCAGGGGCCTTTCTGGGTGGAGTTTGCATGTTCTCTCCGTGCATGCGTGGGTTTTCTCCGGGTACTCTGGTTTCCTCCCACAGTCCAAAAACATGCATGTTAGGCTGATTGGTAACTCTAAATTGTCCCTAGGTGTGAGTGAGAGAGTGAATGGTTGTTTGTCTCGTTTGTCTCTATGTGGCCCTGTGATGGACTTGCGACCCGTCCAGGGTGTACCCCGCCCCTCGCACAGTGATTGCTGGACATGGGCACCAGCGACCCCCGTGACCCAAAATGGAATAAGCGGGTAAAGAAAATGGATGGATGGATGAAGTCAGTTCCAACAGTTCTTCCTCCGATTGTATCCTCAAATGGTGTCCCAATTGAGTTTGTTGATTCCTATAAATATTTGGTTATCTTGGTCAACTTGCATCTCTTTTTTAAGCTCCACTTGGAAAACCTAGTAAAGAAGCTGAAAGTTAAACTGGGTTTCTTTTTCAGAAACAGATCCTGTCTAACTCTGAATGCTAGGAAACGCCTTGTAACTGTGACTTTCCTTCCCTCCATTGATTACGGTGACATTATTTACGATTGCTTCTACAAGTACCCTGCTGGATGCTGTCTATCACGGTGCACTAAGATTCATAACTGGCTGTGATTATCGTACCCATCACTGCACACTGTATTCACTGGTTAACTGGGCATCATTAACTTCATGCAGACTCTCTCACTGGTACATTTTCATCTTTAAATCACTTCTTGGTCTGCTGCCTTCATACATCTCCTCCTACATGTCTCTGCGTGAGTGCAGCTACAGCGTGCGCTCTCGGGACATTATTACATGCAGTGTCCTCCCGGTGCGGACTGAACTTGGCAAAAGGGCCTTCTCTTACTCAACTCCTGTTTCCTGGAATATCTTGCAAAAAGATCTGAAGCTCTAAACCTTGACCTCTCTAAGTGGCTTTAAGCATCTGTTGGACTCCTGGCAAGAACCAATGCAGACATTTTCCTGTTTTTAGTTTTTTACATTCGCCTTATAATCTAGCTGTTTTCGCTACTTTTTTGGCCATCTTATTTTAATTTGTAAGAAAAAAAATTTGTATGCCTCTTTTATGATTGTCTATTGTTGTTGTTGTTGTCCATTGTTATCGTCACTCTTTGTTGAAATCTGGTCTCTCTTGTAAATGAGTCCTCGAGGCTCAATGGGATTAACCTTTCTAAATAAAGTTTGAATGCATGAAAAAAAAAAAAAAAAACGTCCCTACTTCACAGATTTTCACGTATTGTGGGGTGGGGGTCTCTGGGACATAACCCCCGGGACAGGTGAGGGACTACTTTACAACGAAACAAGATAAAAAATATGACTAATTATTCATACAAGGTGAATAAACACCTAAACCATCCCTTTAAACGGAGGAGTGGAACTTCAAGCTTGTACTAGGACCATCCTGTGGGGGCACTCATCCCTTTCCAGTTTCAGCTTTCAGATTCTCATTGAATGTTTAGTTTTAGTTAAAGTGTGAAGATCTAAAGTAACTTTAAAAGTATTCATTGCTTTTTCCCACTCATAAACAGACAGACATACTTGGAGACGTCTCACCTCTCCTGAGCGTTTCCTCACAGGCCACCCCCTGGTAGCCTGACTTACAGATGCAGCTGCAGGAGGTGCCAGACAGGACCGGGATCCCATTGTGTCTGCAGGGGGCGCATCGACAAGCGTCAAACTGCTGCAGGTACTCATCCAAGGCCTTCTGCAGGTTAGATACTCGTGCTCCTGCGTGCTCAGCAGCACTACTGAAGCTCACAACTTCATGAATGGGCATGATCTATGAGGTTAGAACCAGAACCATGGTGTAAGTGTCCGAGTCAGACCAACAGTGTCAGAACTCCCAGCTTGGTTCCTGTTCAGTTTTCTGGGCTCTTTTAAACCCTATTAGCACAGGATTAGTTTTACCTAGGGATCACATGCTATTTATAATAATTATGGAGACTGTCTGTGTTGTTAATCCCGTGTGAATCAGCCATGTCAGTAATTTATAAAGTAAGAATCCCCCTGCAAATTACCTACTATATTTTGCTGAACTCAGAGGTCCTGTGATAATACTAATTCAATGTAAATAGGCATCTTTGTGATTTGGACAGAAATGGGCGGGATCCGATACGTAATGAGGCAGTTGTTGTTTTTGTTTAAGAAAATAATTTTGAAAAATATAGAACAAGTCTATTTTAAATGAACACGCTGCTCACTTCTGCTTTTATGCTGCCATTTACTTCACCGCAAATGACAGCAGGTGCAGAGACGCGCGTATGATCAACTGACCCATCCATCCATCCATTATAGTTACCCGCTTCTTCCTTTTCGGGTAGCGGGGGTTCGCTGGTGCTCATGTCCAGCCATCATTGTGCGAGAGGCAGGGGACACCCTGGATAGGTCGCAAGTCCATTACAACTGGCAGGTCAGCGGACGTGCGCGGCCGGTGACAGGTTGTCCATCTGAGCTTAACGTGGCTTTTTTTACCTCTTAAACCAGCCGGTTGGACCTGCCTCCTCCTCAACGAGTAGATTAACACAATTTTACATTGTGCATCCTTTAGTTTGCTTTGTGCTGATTTGTAAAACCACAAAGAAAACCAAATAATGCACAATGTAAAATTGTGTTAATCTACTTGTTGAGGAGGAGGCAGGTCCAACCGGCTGGTTTAAGAGATAAAAAAAAAAAGCCACGTTAAGCTCAGATGGACAGATGTCACCGGCCGCGTGCATCTGCTGACCCACCGGTTGAAATGGGCTTGCGACCTGTCCAGGGTGTCCCCTGCCTCTCGCACAATGATGGCGGACATGAGCACCAGCGATCCCCACTACCCGAAAAGGAAGAAGCTGGTAAATACAATGGATGGGTCAGCTGATCATGCATGTGTCTCGGCACCTGCTATCATTTGCGGTAAATGAAGTAGCAGCATCTACAAAAGCCGAAACGAGCAGTGCATTCATTTAAAATAACCTTGTTCTATATTTTTCAAAATGATTTTGCTTAAACAAAAACAAAAACTGCCTCATTACGTATTGGATCCCGCCCATTTCTGTCCAAATCACAGAGATGCCTATTCGCATTGAATTAGTATTATCACAGGACCTCTGAGTTCAGCAAAATATAGTAGGTAATTTGCAGGGGAATTCTTACTTTACAAATTACTGACATGGCTGATTCACAGGGGATTAACAACACCAACAATCGCCATAATTTTTACAAATAGCATGTGGTCCCCAGGTAAAATGAATCCCATGCGAATAGGGCTTTAGTGACATTTTTACCTCAAACTCCGTCAGTGCTGGGCTGTATTTGAGAGAAGCCCCCCACTTCCTGTACGTGTCTGTGTTTCTGATGGCCAGCAGGCCTGAGCCGGTCTCTGTGATCCCCCCTTTCACCATCGTGAGCACATCCTGAACCAGAGCTTTGTTAGAGGACGACTCTACAGAGACACACGTCATGTTAAACTGAAGAGTAAATGCAGTGAAGACAAAGTCATTGTGTGGATTTCTCACCATCAGATATGTCCTTGTTTTTATCACATTGGCTAGCTTTCACCTTAAAGCCCAATGACATGCCTTCTTCAACAGGATAACTCAAACCAAGAGAGGCTCCGAAACAGGACTGAAGAGTCTGAGCATTGATTTCTGGAGGGGGGGTGGGGTGAGGGTTACTTCCTGTGACACCCTCCCACAGACCTTGCTGTTTGAGAAACTGAAACTGATTACCTGACTGCGCCATGGCTGTTTTATTGATGATATACACGTATTCCAGAATGCCTCCCATGGTTCCCTCCGTCACATAGTGGGTCCCAAACGTGTTGAGAAAGCTGGAGTACATGCCAAAGTCATACTTCTCAGGAAGCTCCATGAGGGACACGTAGAAGTCTTCATGCAGCATCAGCTGATCAGTCCTCATTTTGAAGCGCGCCGTTTCCACTTTTGACCAGAGTCTCATGAACCCGAGGTCCTGAAGCAACGAAACACCCCATGTTACTCATTTAAACACAGAAATAAACAAGCAAACACCTATTTACCACTTCTGCAAGTGTTTCACATGTTGGGGTGGGATGCTCTTTGTGTTTTTAACCTATGAATTTCTTAATTTTTACAAATGAGCACCGTTTTGTTACCTGGAAACTCTCCATTCAACTGTAATGTGACAGTCATCAAAGAAAAGGTAACAAATAGTTACCAAACTGTAAAACTGTAGTTCCACAAAGCAATAGTCCCAACCCTGGTCCTTGAGGAACACCATTCTGCACGTTATAGTTGTTTCCCTGCTCCAACACACCAGATTCAGTAATTTAATTACTTCCTCGTGCTCTGCAGAAGCCTGTTAATGACCCATTAGTTAAAATCAGGTGTGTCGGAGCAGAGAAACAACTAAAACATGCAGGATGGTGTTCCTCAAGGACCAGGGTTGGGAACCCCTGCTATAAAGAACTTGTACCTGGCTGTAATGTTTGGTTAGGTTCTTCAGAAACTCTGACTCGGAGCTGCCCTGCAGTCCAACCTCCACGAACTGGATCCCAACTGAGAAGCTGGCCATGGAGGACGACATGCTCTTCCTCGCCTCCAGCAGGCTTTGCATGTCCTCAAAATATTCATGGGAGCCTTTAGATGTGGCTTCAGCCTGCAATGCAGTAAGCTTTAATTAATAACAGGACTTTGATTTTAAACCCACCAATCCTGAAGATTACACAAAACGGGACAAAAGCAGTTACCACAAAGCGGTAGGTGTGATAATTGTAAGGCTTCCTGTAGTTCTTCTCGTCTTCGTTGTAGTGAAGGTTCTCACAGAATGAGTCATAGCTGAGTTTCCTCCATTCTCCATTATAAACATATTCACACTTCCCACCAAAGTACTGAGGGTCAAGTACTTGATTCATAAAATCTCTGGTCAGGATGTTATAGCTTTAAAATAACAGAATATTCCAAATTAATTTCAGTTTTTTTCAGAATGAGTAAAATCATCTCTTTAGATCTTTCTAAATACAGTCTGAAGTTATCAGGAGGAGATCGCTGCTCCTTGTTTAATGCCTGGTTGATGTTCCTCTTTTAGACTTTAATGGTCAAAGGTCACAGCTGTTTGGTCAAAAAAAAAATCACAGATGGTAATTTAAATGGCTAGTGTTCACATGTAGAAGTGAGGTTCAGTGGAAGGTTATAAACAGTTGGAGGTTTGATTCCACCAGCATGTTGACGTGTCACTGGGTGAGACCCTGAAGTCGCCACTGTCCCTGTGTCCCATCAGTGTCTGACAGTGATCCAAAGTTTAGATTAATCTCTACAGAATGAATGACTCAGATTATCTTTGTAGAGATGTAATCGATGCTGTGAGGATGTGTGAGGAGCTCCATGAGGGCACAGGTTGTGTTGTAAAGAGCTTTGAGTATCCTGCTTGGATAGAAAGGCGCCACATGATGAGCCCATTTACAAAGATTTACACAGAGTTCAAGAGTCCACAGCAGCTGCAGCTAGCTGTAGCATTACTGGAGTAGCCTAGGGCAGTTTAGCAGGAATATCAATCAATCTGCTGATCTATCCATCATCCATGAACCATCATCCATCCATCCATCAACCATGAACCATCATGCATCCATCCATTCATCCAGCCATCATACATCAACCATCATCCATCATCCATCAACTATCAAACATGCATCCATCAACCATCCATTCATCAACATCATCCATCTATCCATCCATCCATGATACATCCATCCATCAACCATCAACTATCATCCATCCATCCATCAACCATCAACTATCATTCATCCATCTATCATCCATCATCCATCAACCACCCATCTGTCAGCCATATCCATCAACCATCAACATCCATCCAGCATCCATCAACCATCCAACATCCATCCATCAACCATCCATCCATCAATCATCCATCCATTATCCATCAACCGTCCATCAACCATCCAACATCCATCCATCAACCATCAACCATCATCCATCAACCATCCATCATCATCCATCAAACATCCATCCAATATCCATCAACCATCATCCATCACCCATCATCCATTCATCAACCATCCAACAAACATTAATCATTCATCCATCATCCATCAATCATCAACCATCCATCCATTAACTGTCAACCATCCATCCATCATCCATTAACCATCCACCATCCATTCATAAATCATCAACTATCTTCCATCCATTATCCATCCATCCACCATCCATCATCCATCCATCAACCATCCATCATCTATCCACAAACCATCAACCATCATCCACCCATCAACCATCCATCATCTATCCACAAACCATCATCCATCCATCAACCATCCATCATCCATCAACCATCCATCTATCATCCATCAACCATCACCCATCCATCCATTATCCATCCATCACCCATCCATCAACCATCCAGCCATCCTTCTTCTTTACACACTTTTCCCTGCATGATCAGGGAAGCTGATGTCTATCTTAACTGGTTCTTGTGTGAGAGGCCGGGGACACCTGGATATGTCTGCAGTTCAACTCAGGGACACATAGAGACAAAAAAGACAGTCACACTCTCACTCACACCTAGAAAAAATTGTGTAGAATCAGGTAGTACATGGTCAAACACAAATTCAAGGTCAGCATACAGCTCTTGTGTCTGACCCTGTACACCTGCTTTTATTTGATTTTTCTATATAGACATATTAGTTTGGTTGGTATTTTATGTTGTAATGACTAAATATTGTCACCGTGTGATGTTGTATATGTTAGAATGACTGCAGAGCAGTTAAAACAGGAATATATGAACACTGTTCAGGCATGAATACATTTAGATCTTAATGTATCACAAAGTTATGACTTTGAGCAGCACATAAGTAATGAAAACAATCAGTAGACATAACATGCATGTTTTGGATCAGTGAGAGGAAATTAGAGTGCAAGGAGAAAACAGCTGGAATATTATGACATCCGAATATTCATGTAAGGAAAAACTGATTTGAGGGTTTTTGAAGATTAGAGCTGTTTTGAGTTGGCTCTGAATGTGTGTCCACTCAGACTGGCCATTATTGGCTCATGAAGACTATCCAACCTGAATTTTATTGTCTTAAATCCATCCATCCATCCATTATCTTTACTCGTTTCTTCCTTTTTGGGTTGCGGGGGTCACTGATGTCCATGTCCAACAATCACTGTGCGAGAGGCGGGGGACACCCTGGACAGGTCACAAGTCCATCACAGGGACACACAGAGACAAATGAGACAAACAACCATTCACTCTCTCACTCACACCTAGGGACAATTTAGAGTTACCAATGAGTCTAACATGCATGTTTTTGGTCTGTGGGAGGAAACCGGAATACCCGGAGAAAACCCACGCATGCACAGAGAGAACATGCAAACTCCACCCAGAAAGGCCCTGGGCTGGGATTTAAACTGGTGACCTTCTCGCTGAGAGGCAACAGCTCTACCAACTGCACCACCATGCCGCCCCTTAAATCCAAGCTTTATAATTTCATGCAAATACTATTTTGAACTCTTTCCAATCTTTGTCAGTTTTGCATACCATGAATATTTTGTCTGAATTGTTCCACAGGAAGAGCTCCTACGTATGCTGCACTAGAAATGCTACAGCTAGCCACTGTTGCTGCTATTTGTGTTTGAGAATGACTTCAGAATTTAATTAAACTAGCCCTGTACCAAGAAACTGTTGGTAATGAAAGATGTCATGGTGTTGGTATGAACTGCATATTTAGAAATTTGAGTTGTTTTAGAATGGCAACACTCCACTTTGATCCTAGCAGAGTTCAGGTCTAACCGTCATTTGAGGAAGACATGAATTGTTCATAACTTTTCCACTGAACATGACTTTCAAACGGCCAAAGTCTCCTTTGAGTCGGTGTGCTGTTCACCCCTGTGTGCCTCGCTCGGCTCCAGGAATCGTCATGAAGTTGGAACACTTATCGTCTCGTAGGTTGAAACTTTCACACTGGTCTTCGTCAGAGAAGTCATCGCAGTCTGATTCTCCATTACAGCGAAGAGACTGGCTGATGCAGCGGCCTGGATGGACAAAAAGACAGGTGCTGGACCGTCACACGCTGCATGAAGTCCTCCTCAGCAGGAGGCAACAGATGGTGTTTGAGGATAACACTCACCTGTTTCTGGGCAGGTGAAGCTCGCTCCACAGTGATCAGGTACCAAACACTGGCTGGTTGCTCTTGGACACGCCAGCCTGTCCCACAACGTCTCAAGACACTTTTGACCATCAAACTGGGAAGGTTTCTCTAAGTACTGGAAACGTAACTGAGGCGGAATAAAAAATGTCTTTAAAATCCTGAGGAGGTTTGATTTTCTTTCTACAAGTGCTGAGAATGACAGATGTAAATACTGAACACACAAAACCTCATAAAGTCGATGCTCAGTAATCCATGTATACAATCCAACAATTTTCAGTAAGGTCATCTGGACAGTTTCTTTTTTTTTGTGCTGAAACATTTCACCTTCCATCCAGAAGGCTTCATCAGTCAAGGAAACACACAACACAAAACTGATTCTTCTCCCAACAGCTTACTCCAAAGTGGAACAAACCAGTTTTGTTGGTGCTAAGATTTGGCACGCCCCCTCCTCTGGTGCCGGCCCTAACTTTTGAACCAGTTTGACATGACTGTCGACAAGGAAGAGGGCCGGCACCGGAGGAGGGGGCGTGCCAAAGAGACCATCTTAGCACCAACATAACTGGTTTGTTCCACTTTGGAGTAAGCTGTTGGGGGAAGAATCAGTTTTGTGTTGTGTGTTTCCTTGACTGATGAAGCCTTCTGGATGGAAGGTGAAATGTTTCAGCACAAAAAAAAAGAAACTGTCCAGATGACCTGACTGAAAAATGTTGGACACAACCTCATAATTCTAATATATATATATATATATATATATATATATATATATTGCTGTGTTGCTGATAAAGTTACCTGAGGTTAAATTTCTGTGAAACAAATAAAGTTAAGAAATGTATATTCTTCAACACATTTTAAAGTTTTAAACTCAGATAAGTTTATGTTGAGAAATGATTAAAGAGCTCAAGCTCAGTCAGCCATGGTGGCCATCTTGAACTGGGTTTTCTCCAGCAGTAATGAGTGCTGGAGGTACATCCAATAATTACTTCCATTAGAGCCTTCTCTGTTGCAGGTCCAAGACTGTGGAATGACTTACCACTACATGTCAGGCAGGCACCCTCCCTCACGGTTTTAAGTCTCGCTTTTATAAGCGAGACACTTTTCTTTCCTGGTTTTTGACACTATGTGATTTTGTTTTTAACCTGTCTGTATTCAACAGTTTTAGCCATTTAGTTACTATCTTTTTCCATTTGGATCTATGTATTTTTTGCTTTGTACTTTACTTGTTTGTTTCTGCTGTACTGTACAGCACTTTGGTTGGCCTTGTCACTGTTTTAAGTACTTTATAAATGGTATGGTATGGTATGGTATGGCATGGTATGGTATGGCATGGTATGGTATGGCATGGTATGGTATGGTATGGTATGGTATGGTAT